GTAAATATAAACATGAGTAAATATAAACAAGTTTAAATATAAACATGAGTAAATATAAACGTGTAAATATAAACAGGTTTAAATATAAACATGACTAAATATAAACATGTGTAAATATAAACATGAGTAAATATAAACAGGTTTAAATATAAACATGAGTAAATATAAACAGGTTTAAATGTAAACATGTGTAAATATAAAGAGGTCTAAATATAAACATGAGGAAAATATTGCTCTTTCCACTGCCACCTACTCCAGCCTCCTAAAATCCTCCACCCAAGCACTCCTACTGATCAGTGCTCTGTCTCTCTGGACATTTTCATTAACAAAATCAACACCATGCACGTACAGCTACAGCCCTCCTTCACCTCCTCAAATGACCCACCCTAGTCGGTCACAACAGGCCAACTGCTCATCAGCCCCCTCTCCAACTTCACCCCTCCAACATAAGAAACCACTGCTGAGCTCATTCGCAAAGCAAAACCAACCACCTGTGAGCTCGATCCCCATCCCACTACTCTCCTCAAAGCCTGCCTGCCATCCATGTCCCCCATGATCACTGCAACTGTACCCCCGAACCTTAAACTGGCTGCAATTACACCCACTCTCAAAAAAACCAGTGCTGACCCATCTGACCTTAACCACTACAGGCTAAACTCTAACCTCCCCTTCACATCCAAAATCCTGGAGAAGGTGGTTGCAGCTCAACTTCAGTCCCACCTTGACTAAAACAACCCCCATGAACCCTTCCAATCTGGTTTCCGCCCAAAACACAGTACTGAAACAGACCTGGTTAAAATCACCAACGACCTCCTCCGTGCAGCTGACTCTGGACTGCTCACCCTCCTTATCCCCCTCGATCTCAGTGCTGCATTTGACACCATCTCCCACCCACTACTCCTGGAATGCATGGCTGAAATTTCGATCACTGGTGTTGCACTTTCGTGGTTCACGTCATATCTTACTGACAGACAACAGTTTGTCCAGATGAGGAACCACAGGTCGAGATGTTCTGCTGTTTTACTGGGTGTCCCCCAGGGGTCAGTATTGGCTCCACTTTTATTCATCATCTACCTCATTCCCATGGGCACAATCCTCTGTCACCATGGTGTTCATTTGCACAGGTCCACATCTCATCTAAACTCTCCACTGCCCTTCCTCCCACCTCCATCACTACCTACCTTCCTCTGCTGGTCTCCTGACCATCCCCACCTCATGCCTCTGTACCATGAGTGCTTTCAGCTGCACTGCCCCCAGGCTCTGGAACTCCCTACCTCCACACATCCGACAGTCCGACAGCATAACATCCTTCAAATCCACCCCAAAACCCACCTGTTCAAATTGGCCTATGCACTGTGACACTGACTGTATTCAGAACACAGAACACAGATCAGGCTGTATGAACCGTAGTAGATTTCGGAGAACAGGAGGGTGTGTCAATATGAAATCTATGCAATAATGACGACATCATAATGACGTCTAATCATCTTCTGAAGTCCGTTTCTTTTGGACACAAACTGTCTTCTCTACCTGACGACCTGGATGGCTGTGTGTCTCATCCATCTGTCTCCATCAGGCGGGCATCCTCTTTGACATAGATGGCGTCCTGCTTCGCGGTGGCTCGTTGATTCCAGCGGCTCAACGAGCTTTCCGGAAGCTTGTGGACCAAAACAACAACTTCCTGTTTCCCATTGTCTTCGTCACCAACGCAGGAAGCTGTCAGAGACATGACAAGGCCCAGCAGCTGTCTCACCTGCTGGACATCCAGGTAGGACAGGAGAAGGCTCTGCCCCCTCCTGGTGCCAATCATAGACTCATATATTGATTACCAGGGGGGTATTCCAGAAAGCGGGTTTAGTGAAAACTCTGAGTATGTTAACCCTGAGATGAGGGAAACTCTGGGTTTTCAGTTCCAGAAAGAGGTAAATCAAACTCTGAGTCAGTCACCATGGTAACAGACTCTGTGAACATAACCTGCTCGCTGACAGGTTTCCTTCAATAAACCCTGAGTGTTTCTCTGTCTCCTCCCTCTTACACGCTGTTTCATTTCCTCATTCATTCAGTCCGTGTCAAAGCTTGTATGGAAGCGCATTCATTAGCGGAGATTTACCTTCTGTCACAGTCTAAATCCTGCTGGATATTAGTTTGTTACTCAGGACTGTCTGAAGTTGCTGAATTTATGCACATCAGTCATTTCTTTGGACATCAGTTTTTGTCTTTACATTCAAATATTACACAGCGAGAATTCACCCTCAGCTCAGAATCAAACCTCTGTCCTTTTTATATTTATTATTTTTATAACACTGTGCACAAGGATCAGACTGTCAGTCTGTCAGAGCAGCTCCCAAATGTTTATTGCACATAATGTGTAGGTCTAATTATTTACATTTTAAAAATGGGTATGAAGCTTTAGACACGTAGTATCAATGACTAATGATCTCTGTCACTGATGTCACTGGTCGCACTGATGGAACATAATTCCTATAGCCTAATATTGGGGATTATATGTTCATATTTCTGAGTGAGCAATGGTGCAGCATTTCACTGTCTTTACATTTACTACATTTGTAGCTGAAATAAAGTCACTGAATGCTGTTGAGTCAAGATACAAATAGATGTGCAACATTTTAAAATCTACTGTATTTTAACCTCAACGTCTTTTCAAGTGCAAATCACCAAACATATTATTACTGGGTCAGACTGTGAGTTTACAGTCATGTCTTTATGTCTTTGATCTATAGCCTAGCCTATATGTTTTAAATCTGCTGCCTCCTGTGTTTTTCCCCATCAGATTAAATCTGAACAAATATATTATTGTATATAACTAATATAATGTAATGTATCTACAGCCTGATACACAGTCAGATTCCACCACTTTATCTTTATTAAGGAAATGTAAGTCTGATAAATGATGAATAAACAGACAACACTGAATAAAATTTTTTTATTAACTTTATGGTTAACTTATTGACACTTTCCTCGCTCTGACTCAGGCTCTTCTTTTAAAGATAAACGTGCACTGTCTGCTACACATGCATTAATATCTCTACATCCACTGGATTAAAATGGAGGCGCTGTCTTTTATTTACCTGTTGCCATGGTGAATCGGAGCTCCATTGATGATGGCTTTTTATTGTCGGCTTAACTCAGAGTGATCATACTCAGAGTTGACTGAACTAACTCAGATCAGCTGTTCTGGAACCAGTAACTCCCATCGTTTCCCATCTCAGAGTAAATCAACTCAGAGTTCAGGGTTAGACTCAGAGTTTGTTGAACCTCCTACCTGGAATACCCCTCAGAAGGATCAGCTCCTTGTTTGATTGGTTGTTGTTGTTTTTTTTATGAAATGTAAATATTTGTTTGTTGTTCAGTGACTGCTGTGACTGGATAAACATGATCATGGGACCTCCCTGTCCCTGTAGGTTGCCCCAGAGCAGGTGGTTCTTTCCCACAGTCCTTTGCAGATGATGAAGAGTTTTCATGATAAATGTGTCCTGGTGTCTGGACAGGGACCAGTGACGGACATCGCCAACACGTATCCTTCACATCACTAACCCCTGACTGCCTTTGTCTCCATGGTAACAGCAGCTGAGGTTCATGGGTACTGTAGTATTGTTGATTCTATCACATTCAGGAGTCCATTAAAGAAATAAGAAATCCACACATTAGTGTTTATATAAATATACATGCAGCGCTCCCATTGGCCAGACCTGCGACACATAGATGTGAACGTTAAAATAAAGGATGAGCGGATTTTTTAAGGACTGTCTCCTGAAGGACTGTCTCTGAAGTGTCCTCTCATTCTAGTTTTATTTTGTCATCATGTCATGTGACTAACGAACAGGTGAAGCTTCCTCTTTCTTCAGGCAGGTGTTGAGAAGCTCCTCCCCCTCTGCCTCAGTCACTGTGTTTACAGCAGACTATTGTAATGAGGGCCGAGATGTAGTGAAGTAAGAATCTGATCACTGTCTCCAGTTCACAGTTTAACAGAGGAACCTTAAGGCTCGTAGTTTGTACTCGTGTTTACAAAACCGGGGCTGTAGCACCACTTTCTGGGCCCTGTGCCCTTATACAGTCTAAGCGGCCAAACTGTCAAACTGTCTTAGTGCTCTGTGCTGGCGATAGCTGAGACTGCAGGCATCGTGTTTTTGAGTTGTCCGTATGTATATCTGTACATCTGTACGTCCGTATTTCGATCTCGTCCTTGTGAACACGATATTTCAAGACCAGCCAGAGGGAGTTTAAATTTGACACAAACGTCCACCTGGACTTAAGAATAATTAGAATGTTGTGGTTGAAAGTCAAAGGTAAGGTTAGTGTGACCTCACAAAACACGTTTTTGGCAATACCTGAAGAATTCATACAATGGAATTTTTCACAGATGTCTAGCGAGATAAAATAATGAAGGTCAAAAGTTCAAAGGTCAGCTTGACTGTGACATCATCATGTTTTAACATCATATCTCAGGGACAGAAGGGGAGACATTTGGTCAGATACTGAATTGGTGACTCTAATCTGGACTGATCGGACTGAACCACTGAGACAGGTCAAAGAGCGTCCGCCATTTTATATACATACATCAATCAATCAATCAATCAATTTTATTTATAAAGCCCAATATCACAAATCACAATTTGCCTCACAGGGCTTTACAGCATACGACATCCCTCTGTCCTTATGACCCTCACAGCTGATCAGGAGAAACTCCCCAAAAAACCCTTTAACAGGGAAAAAACAGTAGAAACCTCAGGAAGAGCAACTGAGGAGGGATCCCTCTTCCAGGACGGACAGACGTGCATCTGGCAGGACCACGGCAGCAGCACAACCACACACGTCACACTATCCAGGCACCGCTGCAATATGAGTTAACCTGAGAGACAGTGGAGCACAAAGGCTCCGGAGAACAACATCAGTCAGCTGATTCTTTCAGTCACAACAGCAAGTACAAACAAATCACAACAATTAACAAAAACAAACTTTTCACTCCAGGTTTTTTTTTTACGTCAGCTGTTGTTACCACATCTGTTGTTACTACATCTGTTGTTACTACGTCTGTTGTTACTACATCTGTTGTTACTACTTCTGTTGTTACTATGTCTGTTGTTACTACGTCTGCTGTTACTACGTCTGCTTTTACTACGTCTGTTGTTACTACTTCTGTTGTTAGTACTTCTGTTGTTACTACGTCTGTTGTTACTACTTCTGTTGTTACTACTTCTGTTGTTACTACGTCTGTTGTTACTACATCTGTTGTTACTACGTCTTCTGTTACTACGTCTGCTTTTACTACGTCTGTTGTTACTACTTCTGTTGTTACTATGTCTGTTGTTACTACTTCTGCTGTTACTACGTCTGTTGTTACCACATCTGTTGTTACTACATCTGTTGTTACTACGTCTCCTGTTACTACGTCTGCTTTTACTACGTCTGTTGTTACTACTTCTGTTGTTACTATGTCTGTTGTTACTACTTCTGCTGTTACTACGTCTGTTGTTACCACATCTGTTGTTACTACATCTGTTGTTACTACGTCTCCTGTTACTACGTCTGCTTTTACTACGTCTGTTGTTACTACTTCTGTTGTTACTATGTCTGTTGTTACTACTTCTGTTGTTACTACGTCTGTTGTTACTACATCTGTTGTTACTACGTCTGCTGTTACTACGTCTGCTTTTACTACGTCTGTTGTTACTACTTCTGTTGTTACTATGTCTGTTGTTACTACTTCTGCTGTTACTACGTCTGTTGTTACCACATCTGTTGTTACTACATCTGTTGTTACTACGTCTCCTGTTACTACGTCTGCTTTTACTACGTCTGTTGTTACTACTTCTGTTGTTACTATGTCTGTTGTTACTACTTCTGTTGTTACTACGTCTGTTGTTACTACTTCTGTTGTTACTACGTCTGTTGTTACTACATCTGTTGTTACTACGTCTGCTTTTACTACGTCTGTTGTTACTACTTCTGTTGTTACTATGTCTGTTGTTAGTACTTCTGCTGTTACTACGTCTGTTGTTACTACTTCTGCTGTTACTACGTCTGCTTTTACTATGTCTGTTGTTACTACTTCTGTAGTTACTACATCTGTTGTTACTACTTCTGTTGTTACTACGTCTGTTGTTCCATGTCTGTTGTTACTACATCTGCTGTTACTACGTCTGCTTTTACTACGTCTGTTGTTACTACTTCTGTTGTTACTATGTCTGTTGTTACTACATCTGTTGTTACTATGTCTGCTGTTACTACGTCTGCTTTTACTACGTCTGTTGTTACTACTTCTGTTGTTACTACATCTGCTTTTACTACTTCTGCTGTTACTACATCTGTTGTTACTATGTCTGCTTTTGCTACGTCTGTTGTTACTACATCTGTTGTTACTACATCTGCTGATACTACATCTGTTATTACTGCTTCTGCTGTTACTACTTCTGTTGTTACTATGTCTGTTGTTACGTCTGCTTTTACTACGTCTGTTGTTAGTACGTCTACTGTTACTACGTTTGCTTTTATATTTGTTGTTACTACGTCTGTTGTTACTACTTCTGCTGTTACTACGTCTGCTTTTACTACGTCTGTTGTTACTACTTCTGTTGTTACTACGTCTGTTGTTACTACTTCTGCTGTTACCATGTCTGCTGTTACTACGTCTGTTGTTACTATGTCTGCTGTTAATACTTCTCTTGTTACTGCTTCTGTTGTTACCATGTCTGCTGTTACCATGTCTTTTGTTACTACGTCTATTGTTACTACATCTGTTGTTACTACATCTGCATTTACTACATCTGTTGTTACTACATCTACTGTTACTACGTTTGCTTTTACATCTGTTGTTACTATGTCTGTTGTTACTACTTCTCTTGTTACTGCTTCTGCTGTTACTACGCCTGTTGTTACCATGTCTGCTGTTACTATGGCTGTTGTTACTGCTTCTGCTGTTACTACTTCTGCTGTTACCATGTCTGCTGTTACTATGGCTGTTGTTACTGTGTCTGCTGTTGCTATGTCTATTGTTACTACTTCTGTTGTTACTACGTCTGCTGTTACCATGTCTGCTGTTACTACGTCTGTTGTTACTACATCTGCTGTTACTATGTCTGTTGTTACTACTTCTGTTGTTAATACTTCTGCTGTTACTACGCCTGTTGTTACTACATCTACTGTTACTGCCTGTGTGTGTGTGTGTGTGTGTGTGTGTGTGTGTGTGAGACATTGGGTCATGTGATCATAGCAAGTGTTTTCGGTCTTGACTGTGTTGATGTCAGTCTGGGTTTTCAGAAGGTGGTGAGTGTGGAGCAGCTCAGAGAACACCACCCTCTGCTGGACAGGATGGAGCACAACAGGAGCCCATCACTTCCTGTGAGCAGCGTACCTGTGACAGGTGACATCACTCCCAGGTGACATCACTCATGTGACGTTGTTTCCTGTGTTTCAGGCGTGTCCTCTTCCAACTCTCCCCCGGATACAAGGTACACTCTGTTTATCATGTTTACTTCCTGTTTCTGACTCGTACAGTGATGATGTCACAGGTGACCTTCATTATACGTTTAACTTCAAACACTCTTGAGGGCCCAATCCCAAATTGGCCCCTATCCCCTCGCCTATCCACTCCCCCTCCGTTTGCGCAGTCATGCGGAGCTGTGCTATATTAAAGGAGCAATAAGCGAAATTCATCATTTCTAGATTGAAAGAATTTAAAAATTGCTATGTGAAGAACTAGAGGTGTAATTTCATCTGGAGTATAGCATGACCTCACACACCCTCTCTGTGTGGATCTCCAGCCCATTGTTTACAAGCCTGTCCGGCTGTGCATTCATGTACGTTCATGTGAATCCCCCTGTCTACTGCGTCTTCTTCAGAGTCAAACTTCTTCTTCAGAGTCAAACCTCTGAAGAAGACGCAGTAGCGTCCAAACGTCAGTTTGTTTGTACCTAATTAAAAGCTCTGCAATTTTATCGAGTGCTCCAGCCTCCTTTCATTTGGGTTCAGTCATTTTTTGAAGTGGTCCACTTGATTTAGTGTCAAATATAATTATGTGTTCACAGGGACAGAAGAAAAAACAAAGCAGTTCATCAATCTACGAATTAAAAATGAGAGAGAGTCTGCTGCAAAGCAGGGACGGGAATAAGATTGTCCAGTGTCGCGGGGTCCTTTTGCTCAAAACTCCTCAAAAACTGGGAAAAACCCAGACATAGTCGGAAAAATATTGTGATGGAGTGATTTATTATGCCGGCCTCCCAAAGTGCACACAGTAATATTTACAAAAAGTGAAAAAAACATGGAAAAATATTGTTTACAAAATGTCAACATGTCCAAAAAAGAGAGTTCTTCAACAACTCAAAATACCTTTTTCAAAAACACAGGTTCCAGCACACAGTCTGGAGGTAAAGCAGGTGTTACCTCGTCTGTAATCACAACAAGACTGACTCATCCAGGGCCAGAGCAGCCTCCTTTAAACCAGATGCCCCTCCCACTAGGCATATTATTCACACACAAAAAAACAATCAGCACACTGAGTAACCAAAACACAATTTACAGCTTTCTAAACTCAAAATAAACATAAAGCAAAATATTCATGATGTTCATAAATGTTCTCCTTTAACCCCCACAAGTTATTCACAACAAAAGTTAATTTAACATCCAAGAAACGTAACAATGCAGGTCACATGATCATTAGGCACGAGAACAGACTATTTAACAGAGCAAAAATGTTACGACTGGTTTGGCCAACCAGACTGAATATGTAACATATTCCGTAAGGTAAGTGATCCCTCCTCAGTTGCTCTTCCTGAGGTTTCTACCGTTTTTTTTCCTGTTAAAGGGTTTTTTTGGGGAGTTTTTCCTGATCAGCTGTGAGGGTCATAAGGACAGAGGGATGTCGTATGCTGTAAAGCCCTGTGAGGCAAACTGTGATTTGTGATATTGGGCTTTATAAATAAAATTGATTGATTGATTGATTGATACAAGGATCGTGTGAATGTATGGATATAAATATATGCAGAACTACCAATTGTGCACCCTTGGCTGCGCTACAAAGACAGAGGGATAATTGAGTGGTTTTATTTCTAATATTTAATGAAGAGGGAGCGTGGACGAGGAAATGAATGAGAACGAGTGTGAGTGTGAGTGTGTGCGTGTGCGCGCTGCCCACAGTCAGTGAAAGAGCCGCTCCGTCACATCATCCCCTCCTCCTGGAGGTTGGCGATGTGCGGGCTGGCTTCGTCACACCCAGATTAATGAATGAAGTTCATGTGTGAATGTGTGAACTGTGTCTCGAAAATATGAACATGAATATGAATATGAAGTTAATTACTGTGATGATGCTGCACTGTAACCCTTATCTGACTTATTCAAGTTTATTTTTCATGTAACTCATTTTAATTCATATTTAAATGTATATTTAATAACCTGTTGCTCTATTTTGCTTTCACAAAGCATCTGTCGGTATCCATGGTTACATCTACTTCCTTTTTCTGGTAGAGTGGCGAGGGTGTCCCATGGTTTGGCTTCTCTTTTATACACTTCCCCGGTAACACTTCATAAGACAGCCTGCGTTTCAGAGTGTACCTCTTGCCCATTTTCCCAGGAGTTAGCGTATAATGACGCGGTCACTTGGCATATACTTCCCCAGGAGTTAGAGTATCCCTCACGGTCACATTCCCGGGGGTTAGAGTATAACTCGTCACTTATGTAATTTCCAGAAACTTATGATTTAATTTCCTCATGTGAATCTGTATATGTATGAAGTGCAAGAAAAACAAATGGTTTTGCCCTTTGCTCATGGCAGTTGATTCAGTCACTTTTATGTAGCCTATATGTCATCAGGCAATTTCACCCACACTCCAGGGTTTTCATATTTATGTTTTGTTTACATTTCATTGAATGAGTTTGAATATGAATATGTCAAGAAATGGGTCTATATTCTGCGAATTGCCTAATTAACGGGCAGGCTGGAGTACAAAGCAAACTTACCTCTCTCAATTGCACATCTATGGAAGTCTTGGAGTGCCATCCGAGGACCAAACACAAACAATACAGTAATGTAATAATATAGCCTACATAAGTGCTGTTCTCACATCTACAGCGTACTTTCACCAAAATTTACAGGGAAACTAGGCAGTACTTTCCACCTAAGTATAGACTAACAATGGGGACTGGGCTGGATTATGAAGTTTGCACTGTTTGCCTGTCCTTAGTCTGAAAGTACTAGGTAATTTCCCCAAAACTCACAGAGAAAGTAGACAGTACTTTCCACCTAAGTATAGACTAACAGTGGGGACTGGGCTGGATTATGAAGTTTGCACTGTTCTCCCCTCCTTAGTCTGTAACTTGGCACTCAGATGTTAACCCTTTAAACACAGTTAGTTCAATGCTTCACAAGGTAACAATATTACCAGAAAATAATACAAAGACGAATCAAAGTGTCCGGCGCAGCTGGTGCAGTTAAGGTTTGGCTGACTGGCGGACAGTGCGCACATCAATTCAATCAATCAATCAATTTTATTTATAAAGCCCAATATCACAAATCACAATTTGCCTCACAGGGCTTTACAGCATACGGCATCCCTCTGTCCTTATGACCCTCACAGCTGATCAGGAAAAACTCCCCAAAAAAAACCCTTTAACGGGGAAAAAAAACAGTAGAAACCTCAGGAAGAGCAACTGAGGAGGGATCCCTCTTCCAGGATGGACAGACGTGCAATAGATGTCGTACAGAACAGATCAGCATAATAGATTAACAGTAATCCGCATGACACAATGAGACAGAGAGAGAGACAGAGAGAGAGAGAGAGAGAGACAGAGAGAGACAGAGAGAGAGATGCAGGTAATGACAGTAGGTTACAACAACATTATTGAAAGTAATAATATTATAGTTATAGTTCTGGCTACTGTGGTACAATATGTTGAAAGTATGTATTAATATCTGGCAGTATACATGTGTGACAATAGTCATATGTGTATAATAACAGTAGAAGTATGACTAATGACTAATGATGGCAGCAGCAGCAGGAGGCATCTGGCAGGACCACGGCAGCAGCACAACCACACACGTCACGCTGTCCAGGCACCGCTGTGATATGAGTTAATCTGAGAGACAGTGGAGCACAAAGGCTCCGGAGAAGAAGCCGAGTTAGTGACATCCAGAATGGCCGAGTTAGCAAGATGCAGTAATAGAATACGAGAGAGAGAGAGAGAGAGAGAGAGAGAGAGAGAAGGAGAGAAGGTGCCCGGTGTATTATAGGGGGGTCCTCCGGCAGACTAGGCCTAAGTCAGCCTAACTAGGGGCTGGTACAGGGCAAGCCTGAGCCAGCCCTAACTATAAGCTTTATCAAAGAGGAAAGTCTTAAGTCTAGTCTTAAATGTGGAGACGGTGTCTGCCTCCCGGACCGTAACAGGAAGATGATTCCACAGGAGAGGAGCCTGATAGCTGAAGGCTCTGGCTCCTGATCTACTTTTGGAGACTTTAGGGACCACGAGTAACCCTGCGTTCTCAGAGCGCAGTGTTCTGGTGGGATAATATGGCACTATGAGCTCTCTAAGATATGACGGAGCTTGACCATTTAGAGCTTTATAAGTTAACAGTAGGATTTTAAATTCAATTCTGGATTTTACAGGGAGCCAGTGCAGAGAAGCTAAAACAGGAGAAATATGATCTCGTTTCTTAGTTCCTGTTAGTACACGTGCTGCTGCATTCTGAATTAGCTGGAGAGTTTTTAAGGACTTACTAGAGCTACCTGATAATAGAGAGTTACAGTAATCCAGCCTTGAGGTAACAAAAGCGTGGACCAATTTTTCTGCATCTTTTCGGGTCAGGATAGGCCTAATTTTCGCAATATTACGCAGATGAAAAAATGCAGTCCGTGAGGTTTGCTTTAAATGAGAATTAAAAGACAAATCTTGATCAAATATTACTCCGAGGTTTCTTACGGTAGTGCTAGAGGCCAGAGCAATGCCATCTAGAGAAACTATGTCATCAGATAAAGAGTCTCTGAGTTGTTTGGGGCCAAGAACAATAACTTCAGTTTTGTCTGAATTTAACATCAGGAAATTGGTGCTCATCCAATTTTTTATGTCTTTAAGGCAGTTATGGAGTTTAGTTAATTGATTACTTTCTTCTGGCTTCATCGATAAATACAACTGTGTATCATCCGCATAACAATGGAAATTTATAGAGTGATTTCTAATGATGTTACCTAAAGGAAGCATATATAGAGTAAATAGGATTGGTCCGAGCACAGAACCTTGCGGAACTCCAAAACAAACTTTGGTACGTAAGGATGATTCATTACGAACGTCAACAAATTGAAAACGATCAGATAAATAAGATTTAAACCAGCTTAGTGCTGAACCTTTTAGGCCAATTAAGTGATCCAGTCTCTGCAGTAGAATTTGATGGTCAATTGTGTCAAACGCCGCACTAAGATCTAATAAAACAAGAACAGAGACGAGTCCTTTGTCTGAAGCAATC